ACAGGATCACTATTATGGGCTTAGACTAATTAAGACTCATTCCCAGGGCTGGCTCCAAGCTTCCCTGAAGTTTCTGGCTGCTCCACAGAACAGAATTAAGGTTCTGTTAGGAAGAAGGAGATGGGAGTAGGGAACAGGTACGCAGTGTGCAACCAATAGTCGGGTTGGATTCTGTTAGGGAATCCCCAAGTCCAGGTTGTTCCTTGACACACTGTTACTTTTCTGGGCTCTCCCCTCAGTTCCCATCCCCATCTAGCATATTTCCTTAATAGTGAGTCAAGTCCCCTACAACTCTAGCCCTAAAGGACACATTCCAAGGCTGTCTTTGGCAGAACAGCAAGGAACGTGAAATGTATTCCTTGGGGCCCAGTGTTCTTGTGTAATCCCCAGGTCAGTGACCTCATGTGTTTGGTCAGCCTGGGCACTGTCAGTTGGGTAGGGGGAAGAGCAGAGGCTCTGCCTCCTGGAAAGGTGTACTGACCTGGCCCTGACTCAGCCCCAGAGCTGAGTTCTAGTCATGCTCCCTTCTGAGATCTCCTTTATTTAAAAAAATTTTTAAATTTATTTTTACTTTTTTAAATAAAAACTTTTTAATGTTTATTTATTTTTGGGAGAGAGAGATAGAGAGAGACAGAGCACAAGTGGGGGAGGGGCAGAGAGAGAGAGGGAGACACAGATCTGAAGCAGGTTCCAGGCTCTGAGCTGTCAGCACAGAGCCTGACACAAGGCTAAAACTCATGAGCTCTGAGATCATGACCTGAGCCAAAGTCAGACGCTTAACCAAATGAGCCACCCGGGCACCCCTGAGATCTCTTCTTTCTGGTCTGTACTCCTCTTAGAATCCGAATTGTTTTCCCCCTCCTTTTTTTAAAATTAAAAAAAAAAAATTAAATGTTTATTTATTTTGAGAGAGAGAGAGTGAGCAGGGGAGGGAAGAGAGAAAATGTGAGCAGGCTCTGCGCTGTTCGATCCCATGAACCGTGAGATCATGACCTGAGTTGAAATCAAGAGCTGGACGCTTAAAGAATTGAGCCACTCAGGTGCCTCCCCTACTTTTTTATAGTTTGTATTTATTTTGACAGAGAGGGGAGAGAGAGAGAATCTCAAGCAGGCTCCTTGCTGTGTCAGTGCAGAGCCTGACACAGGGCTTAAACCCACAAAAAATGAGATCATGACCCGAGCCAAAGTTAAGAGTCGGATGGACACTTAACCAACTGAGCCACCCAGGCACCCCTTCCTTTTTTTTTTTTTTTTTTTTTTTTTTTTTTAAATATGCTCTGCAGCCAGTGTGGGGCTTGAACTCATAACCCTGAGACTAAGAGTTGCATGCTCTACTGACTGAGCCAGCCAGGTGCCCCCTGAATTGTTTTCTTAACAAATTCTAATTTGTTCTTAAAACCCTAGTCTTAAAAACCCAACATTACTGTCGTATCTCCTTTCCGTGACCTCCCACATTAGGAAAACCAATATCCACTGAATTTACTAACCAGTCACAGGTCTCCCATATGTGTTAGAAGCTTTGAGAAAGTATTAGACAATAGGGAAGAAAATTAAGTTTTAGTAGCTGTGTGCCAGGTGCCTGGGGTAAATTCTTTCCCACACTGACTTTATCCTTAACAGCATCCTGATAGGTTGGGTTATTTTAACTTTCATGTTAGAGTTTAGGGAATTCAGGTTCAGAAGTTAAGTTGCCTGCTCACAAAAGGTAAGGTTGGCTCAAGGCCACAAGCTGTTAGGAGCGCATGACTGCGTGACCTCGTGCCCATGCTCTTTCTCCTACCCTTCCCCTCTTCTGACTTCATGGTCTTTACTATTACAAAACACATTTGTATATATTAATTTTAGCCTCACAACAGTAGCAGGGTGAGTCCTAGTATCTGCATTTTGTAAATGATGGTGGGGTTCAGAGACACTAAATGACTTGCCCAAAGTCATGTGGAGTTTAGCTCTTCTGACTACAGAATGTGTATAGGAAAGCATGGCATAATTTGTTGAATGATGATCCAGATTATGGTGGGTAATCAATAAATAATTCATCAGATTAAATTACTGAAAATAAACAATGTCACTGCTTTGAGGTCCCTAGGTTCCATTTTCTCCCTGTGACCTCCTCTGGGCTTCCCTCAGAGACCTCTTTTCCCAGGAACTCTATCACCTCCAACCAAGACTCACAAAGAGTAGCACCCACATGTCTTCAGGCAGGAGGCTTAAGAAGGAAGGGTCTTCTTTTATGATAGAGCTGAGTGGACCTAACAGTTTTTGTTCTTTCCCTTCCCACCTTAGGCCTTCCTGGAATGGGGAGGCCCTACTCAGACTTTTCCCTGCCCCACTTGGCCGACTGCATTTGTTCTGGAGTAGACAAACCAGTGAGTCCCTGCTCTCCTGTTTCACTGGCCTTTGCCCTGGCAGTTATCAAACTAATGCCTCCTCCTCTCTCCTCCCTTGGCACTGCCTCCTGCCTCTGGCTCCACCCCACAGCCCTGGACACAGTACACAGAGCCCAGAGTTTGGGCTCCAAGGGAAACAAAAGGAACTGCCTGGATCCCCATGGCTATGGCCAGCACCTTCATACCAGGGCTGAACCCCCAGAACCCTCATTATATCCCAGGGTAAGACTTCTGCTTGTTTCTGGAAATAGGCATATAGGGATATGGGAATTGTGCCACTTAGATCTTGGAGGTCAAGTAGACATACTGGTATTTGGGAGGCCCAGGGCTGGGATATTTATGGTGTTTGATGGAAAAGGAAAAGCAAGGCAATAGTGGTAGCTGGGCCTGCCACAAAACTCTGTTGTCTTCTCTATGGTAACAGGGTAACAGCAGAGGGGAAGGGTTGAAAACCTAGAGAACTGAGAAATGCCTTTCCAAATGGGCACACAGCTGAATCCAGAAAAAAAAAATCAGGGCTTCAGAGGTCTCTGTGTCTATCTCTGGGGGTGATGGAGCAGAGGGAGACTGGAGGTGAGTCGGGGGGGTCCTGTGCTACAGGTACACCGGACACTGCCCACTACTTCGGTTCAGCATGGGCCAGACCTATGGGCAGATGACTGGTCAGCTACTTCGAGGAGTTCCTGGCCTGGCCTGGCCCCCTGCCCATCGCACACTTCTGCCTCCCATCCGGCCTCCACCATCTCCTGAGGTTCCCAGAGGAAGACCACCTGTCAGGCGTGGACATGAAAGGCTCAGTTCCAGCATGATCCCAGGGTACACAGGTATGTATGTGTGGTCTGAATAGGTGTCCCTGTCCCAGAACATGTGCCCCAAACACTAATCGAAATCCTCCTTGCCCACTCCCACCCAGGTTTTGTACCCCAGGCACAGTTCCTCTTTGCCAAGAACTGTAGCCAGGTCTGGGCTGAGGCTCTGAATGATTTCACTCAGTGGTCTGGGGGACAAAGGAGTCAAGAACTGCCGAAGGAAGCCAAGGAAGAAAAAGACGTGGGGAAAGACCAAGAACCAAAGCCAGAGTCAGAGCTGGAGGCAGAGAAGGAGCTGGAGCCGGGGCAAGAGGCAGAACAAGTGAGACCAACAAGGCTGGAGAGAGTGCAGGGGGAGTTGGTAGTGTGACCAGGCTTAGGGGTGGCCATGAGTAGCATGACTCTGGGTACAGGGAGTATGGGCCTGACTGCCAGCTCCAGCTCCCAGGGAGCTTCTGGTAGAGCACAGGAGCTGAATTTGATGCCCTTATTTTTTCTCTATCAACTTCCCCTCACAAGGCTTCCCCCTATTCCATGGATGACAAAGATCCTCGCAAGTTCTTCATGCCAGGTGAGAGGAAGTGGGTAATGATCAAAAGCATGGGGAGGCTCCCAGGAGGTCCTGACTCAGTATCCCCATCCCCCTAGGCTTCACTGGTTACGTGCCCCGGGCCCGCTTCCTCTTCGGCTCCAGCTTTCCTGCGCTCACCAACCGGGCACTGCAGGAATTTGGACAGATGTATTCAAGGGGCAGATCCCAGAAGGATCCCAAACATCTCCCCCCACTTTCTAGGACCTACCCTCAGAACCTGGGCCTGTTACCTAACTATGGGGGCTATGTGCCAGGTGAGGATAGCCCCAGAGGGAAGCTTCGGGGACCAGAGTATTTGTACGTGTGTGGCACGGGTGGAGGTGGTTTGGGGGGTTGGAACTAATGGATATGGAGGGGGGGCTTGGATCACGTGGTTCAGCTTACCACTGTGCAGAAAAGGAAACGGAGGTAGCCCACAGTGGAAGGTAGGACAAGATTTTGGAGGGCTTAGGCACTGGCTGAGAAATAAATGGCTTTTCCATGCTACCAGCTACAAGTGACAGACTGTCTTGTCCATATAGGGTATAAGTTCCAGTTCGGTCGCACGTATGGGCATCTCACCCATGATGTACTGGGCCTCAGCACCCTCCAGAAGCAGCTCCTGGTATAGGTACCTGGACTTCAGGTTCTGTCTTCCCTTTCTTCCTATCCCAGCCATCCTTTTGCAAGGAAGAGAGGTGGGCCGCAGGGTGGGGGGAGGCACAAAGAAAAATGGTTTGGAGGCCGAGCACCTTTTTTATTAATAGGTGTAATAAATAAATAAATAAATACATAAACAGAAGTCTGGGCTCCTCCTCCCTCTTCTGACCACCAGGCACTGGCCACAGCCTATTTACATTTGGGGGCTTAGGGAGCTGGCCCCAATACTGTCACCCATCCTCCTTACCACCTGGCCTAGGAAACCCTGCAAATGGGCCTCTGGTCACCTCCCTCCATAGGGACATGCTTATCTGTACCTATGGAAGGGCCAGCCCAGATGGCCGGGGAAATCCTGGCAGCCCAGTGCTGCATCCCTTCCCTCCTCTCCGGGGTGGAGGTCTGGATGAGGTCACTGGGACAGTTAACGGGGAGTAATTAATACTGAGCACAGGGATGTATGGCCCCCAGCTCTTAGTCTGCTCTCTGTGGCCAAGCCAGAGGGCTTGGGAAGGGCTCTCAGGCTCTGAGTTGGGGGTTATGAGGGTCCCTGAGGCCACCAACATGCACAGGGCCTCAGTTTTGGCTGCTTCCAGGGGTTGGACTTGGAGTTGGGGTCAAGGTCACATAGGCCAGTGGCACCAGGCCGGTGTCGGGGCCGCGGCTGCAGCGCAGCCAGTCTCCTCCAGCTGGCCCCAGCACCCGGAGGATATCTCCCTTGTGGAAGCTCAGCTGTCCAGGGCCTGTGGCCAGATGATGGCACAGTGCCTTCACCTCGCTGGGGAAACAACAAATGGAGGTCAGAGAAACCCCATCCAACGCCAAACCCAGCCCCCCAATCCTGTCTCCCAGGGCTTACCATGGAGGCTTGGAGGGCAGAGCTGGAGAGGGTGGCTCCTGCAGGCTCTCCCTGGGCTCTGGCTCCCGGCGGGCACCCACTGTCTGTGCCACTAGTTGGAACATGGACTTGTCCAGGCTCAGCCAGTCAGAGGGTAGCCTAGAAGAGAGCAGCTAGAGCTCTGGCTCTGTCTGTATCCTGGCTTAGAGAGGCTCCCCAAATCCCTCCGTCTACACTATGGGATGCCGCTCACCTGTTTGCGGGCCGGGTCTCACGCTGAGCCTTTCGGGAGCCAAAGAGGTGGCCCCACTTGATGCCCCCAGGTGAAGGTTCTGAGGCTCCTTCCTCATTTTCTGCTGAGGGGGCAGTGGACCCTTCCCTCTCCCGGCTGCGCCTCAGCTCAGCCAGCACAGAATCAGGTGGGCTCCCCATCCAGAAGGGCCAGCCCCTATCCCGGCCAAGGGTCTCCTCAGGGGCAGGGCAGGCCTCCGCCCCCTCGACTACTCCCTCTCGAGGGGGTGGCCCCCCACTTCCTGACCCTTTCTTTTTCTCACTGCTGCTACTGCTGCCACCACGGGGAAACCTAGAGCACTCAGCTGAGCCATCGATGTAGACCTGGGAACTCTGCATGAGCTGGTACCACCAGCCGGCCTGCCCGCCTCGGGCCCACCTGCCACGCCCTGGGCCCCCAGCTGCCTCTGCCACCTCTTCTGTCTCCTCTTCCTCTTCATCCTCTCCACCTTCTGAGGCACCCACACCCTTCACCCGCTCCCCATGGACTGCCCTGTCCGTGTCTCTAGGGCCCTCCTGGCCCCGAGCCCGGGCCAGCTGCAATGTTGAGTGGGCGGACAGCAGTAGGTCCTGGGACACCCGCAGCAGCTCCTTGTGCTGCCGCTGCTGCTGCCCACTTTGCAGCAGCCGGTGCTGGAACAGCAAGTCAAGGCTGAAGGGCAGCAGGGCCAGGGGCTGTAGCAGCAGCAGCAGCTCCTCAAAGAGGCTAGGGCACACAGTGTGTGCTGCACTCAGGAAGCCCCACGGCTGGTAGTGGGTCTGGATGATATCTAGGGGAGAAAGAGAGAGGCCTGAGCCACACAGAGAAGCACAGTCTGGCCTGGGGTGGGCCTTTGAGAAGCAGCCCTGGCAGAGCCACCGCATATGGCCACACAGGCTGCGTACTGTGCCCTCAGATGCACTCCAGTGGAAACGATGCCACCTCAAGTTGTGCAGGTCACGACCTCCAAACCCTAAGTGGCAGCCCCAAGTTCAGAGTGGAGGTGTTGGGGTTCCTAGCCACCCTGACTTCCACACTGCCTGAGTATCCTGCTGACTCCAAGGCTCTAACACAAGTAGAAGCTGGGGGAAGTTTTGGGCAGAAGCCCTGGCTTTGAGGATGAAAGTTTGTGGGGTTCCCTCCCCACCTCTAGAATCTGTAAAGAGCTGTGCCTCCCTCTTTGAGCCTCTGAGGTCTGGCCTATATTGAGTTTGCAAGAGAGAACAGTGTCCTGGGCATTACCTTCGTGGTTATAGAGGTGGTTAAACCAGAACTCCAGGGACCGGATGCTGTAGGGAAATAGGTGAAGAGAGTTGAATCTTGTGTGGATATAGCCAGATGATAAGGTACAAAGGAGACGGACATCGGGTCAGACATAGAGCAGAGGTATAGGCTGAACACCCCCCTTCTATGGCTACCTGGTTCATTTCATGTAATCTAGTTCTGGAAAGTCAGCGGGGACGTTGGGAGGGGGTGAACATGTGATTCACAAGCCAATTTCTTCCCTCTAGAAAGGAGTTGGCTTGCATAGGACCCAAGAAGTCAGGGCAGCTACTGAGTGAGAGTACAGGGTACACATCCCCAAGGGGATGGCCTGGGCCCAAGTTGAGAAAGAAAGATACTAGGATGTGGATCTCAAGATGGATTTACGGGCAGGCAGGATTTGGAAGTAGTGCTGGAATGGAGTGGATCAAAGTTTACAATATCCAAAGAACCAGATTAATTTCCAAATAAGCCAGATTATGGATTAAAAACCAGATTAAAAGCAAATGACCATGTTGGTGATCAGTGCCAGGGGGTTGTGGGTGTGGTGGGAAACCAGTGACCTACTGAGAGAGGCTATAGCTAGATGGGAGTGGCGGGGGAAGGAGGAAGGTGAGCCTGAGCCCTGGCCACAGATCCTGTGGATCCACCTGACTGTCTCAGTCTAGGGAGTTGGTTCCTCAGAAGTGGCAGAGCCTAGGGGAGAGGGCTGGTGGTTTGCAGCTCTTGTTGCCCCACACACTCACTTGAGCAGGCCAAGAATGAAGGCGTTGAAACGCATGGTGTGACTGGTGAGCTCTGGGAATTGGCTGACTTTGTTGTAGAGGCCATGCAGGACCTTGGTAGACGGGCCTGAGAGGAAGCCAGAGTTAGCAGTCACATGTCCAGTCTCTGGAACCTTAATCTCAGTCTGGAGTCCCCATCTTGCCACCCAGCACTTACCCAGCTGTGTGGAAGCCTCAACCACACTCCACGGCATGTTCTTACGTTGCCCAATGATGACATCTAGCACAAAGGCCTTGAGCCCATCCTCCAGCACAGCCTGGACCGCAGGGCACAAGTACTTCAGAACCAGGTGGCCCACATTGGGGCTCACAGAACTATTCCCCAGCTTTGCCTGTGGATGCAGTAGACAAGTACAGAGAATCATTTGAGGCCTGACCTTGGTCCTTTCTGACTCTCTTAGGCCTGAGCATGCTTCTCTTGAGATCCCCATCCCGAAGCTCCCAACTCTGGGTTCTTGGTGCAAGAGAGCAGGAGGAAGTGGTCGCACAGAATGGGTGAGGGTCAGCCGGGTAGAGCTCAGCTCTTCAGTTTCTTGCCTACCTTCACCCCAGGATCCCGGCTTGTGCCAAAATGGGCCACAATGAGGTCCACAGCAGTGTTAACTGCTTTCACCAGCCCTGCAAGTAAGAATTTGATGTGTGACAGGTTCCTAAGCAAGTCCCTGGGCAACGTGGCTGAAACGGAGCCCTCTGTGGAGAGAGGGAGGGGCTTCCACTCTTTCTCTCTGTCTCTGCACATGGATCTCAGTCTCACCGAGGACCAGTCCCTGGCCCCTTCTTGTTTTTGCCCAGTTCTCAAGCCCTGCACTGCTTTCACCACCAGTGGATCCATCTCACCAACTGCATCTTCAAGACCTTCTTACTCCATATCCTAGATCAATCTAACTATTCATCTTCTCTGCTATGAGAAACCAGGCTACTGGCTGCTGGAGAAAGTCCGGGGCCACTCATAACAGTGATCGACAAGGGCACTTCTTGGATGTGCGTCTCGTGGTACGCTCTGCTATCCTTTCACATTGCCAAATCTTTACCCCTCTTCTCAAGCCCTTGATTCTACTTCACCTAGAGAACAGAGGTGACTGGTCATGAATTCCACATCCCTGTCCATCCAAAAGACCTAACTACATTCTACCTAACCTCCCCCAGGGCCCACTCACTCTCCATCTTGTTCAAGGTTCTTCCCTCTTCCTAGGTTTGAATCTCCCACTCTTCCTCTGCAAGGGACCTTAGCTTCATCTTTATTCCTTCTCATAGGCTCCTTCCCTTCAGCCCACAATGATGTTCAGTTCTTTTTGCATCATCTCATTGAAGCAGCTCTCTTAGTCCAGTGGTCCCTTATTTGCTAAATAGCTTAGTAGATGTCACCATTATGCTTACCGAAGCTGTTAGTCCCTGTAGTACTTGAACTGTCCCCAAGAGTACATGGCCATTTATTTATGGCAAAGTCTCCCTCACTATACGTAGCTCTCCAAGGCAAGAGACTGAAGCCCGATTCTTAAGCATCTGATAAATGACCCTTGCGTGCTCATGCACACACACCATACACAATACACAGACTTCTACCTCTTGCCCCAATTCCTGTGCTAATTCTTTCCTAGCATGTGGAGTTCTAAAATAGGGAAATAATCTGGAAGACTAGACAGTAGGGCAATGGGCACAAATAGGCACTGACAACAGAATTCCTGGCCTGAGCTGGGGGTAATATTCACCTTTTTTCTGAAGTAGGTCAATGGAAATGGCCTCTGAGTTGCCATCTGGGGACAGACAAAACTCAGCTGGAGGCTTCTCAGTCAAGGAAAAGGGGTCTTGGAAGTCAGGGCAGGTCAGTGGTAATGGCTTTACTACTTGACCTGCAAAGAAGAGAAAAATCAGTCTCAAGCAACTCTCCTAAGAGTTGCAGCTGGGTTCTGTGTTCCTTTGGGGACTGACCCCTTCTCCAGCCCTGCCAAGCTGTGGTAGAGCCTGCTCTGGGTATAATGGGGACCTGGGCCACACACCATTCATCCGGCAGTTCAGATGGCCAGCAGCACTGAAGGAGCCAGGGAATTCAAAGATGGGGTTCCTTCGGGCTAGTCGAGCTTCCTGCGGCCTTCGGTCTAGGCTCCCTGACAATCCAGGTGGCCCTAGTGGGTTCTTCCTCCTGTATTCCCGCCACTTGAGTGCTTGAGGGGACAGGTGGTTGGCTGAAAGCAGAACAGATTAGCAGAAGAGACAGACAAGAGTTAGCAGGAGATAGCACTTCATATCCACCCAGTGGGCCCATATAAAATATGAGGGCTGGGTGTGTGTGTGGATATTATCCATAGATAATATGGGGAAGGACCCCATATTAAACCCCCCCCCCATTATTTAACCCCTGACCCCAGGCTGGAGTATAAGAAACCATTCAAAGGGGAGGTAAAGATGCTTGGGGTGGGGGGTAAAGCTCATACCATTATTGGGCCTGGAGGCCATGCTGCCCTCACCACCTCCCCGGGCTAGACTTTCTGCTCGACTGAGGCTAGATCTCCAGGAGCCCAGAGGAGGCAAACTTCCTGTTCCATGGAGACGGTACTCAGCCAAGGTCAGTATCTTCTGATCCTCCTTCTGTGGCTGCTGCGAGGTGGCAGGCCGGGCAACAGGAGGACAGGAGTGGCTCCATGGGGGTGAGCTTTCTGTGGCTGTGGCCTGCTCTGGAGGAGGGGAGCACGAGGTGGAAGCAGAAGAATCGGTGCTGGGCCCAAAGGGGCCAGCACTGCGGATGGGAGAGTAGCTACCCAGGGGTGACGGCCGTGAGGTTTCTAGCTCAGGACCAGCTTTCCTGGCACCTCTGTTGGTGGGTGCCTGTGACTCCCCTGAGGGAGCTAAGGCTGGAACTTGAGCAGTGGGGGCAGCCAGTGGGGCAGGCTGCTGTGCACGGCCACAACCAGAGAGGCTGTAGAGCTGGGAAAGGCTGTGGAGGGCTCGGGCCTTGGCCAACTGCTTGGGGAAGTGGTGCTGGAACACGAAGGGCTGGATGGGCAGCGTGGTAGGCCTCTGCTCCTTGCTGTAGCGAAGGACTGGTCGGCTCTCAGCACCACCTCCTGTGGCAACAGTGATGGAGGAGGAATCAGACAGATATGCCCTGAGACCCCCATGAGAGGAAGCAAAGAAGCAGACAGATGATGCTCACTGGGGAGAGGGGAAGAGACAGGCAGGACCTGAATTGTAGGAATTGAATGGGGTAGGGGTAATCCAAGTTTGGGAATTTGACAATGCCCCTCCCATCTTTTGTAAAACTTTCCCTATTGTCTTTATGATAACTGAACTCTCTTGTACTCTTGGCTATTCACCCCTTCTTCATTTTCTTAACTTCAAGGGTGTATATATCTTAAGGCTCCATTCTTTGATCTCCCTTTACACATTCTCCCCTGCATTGTTCAAGTTCAGACATTCATACACATGACTCCTGAACCTTCAGCTTTAGCCCCAGCCTTCCCCTTGATCTCTGGATCATTCTGCTTTAGGATTCTGCTTTCACGTATTTTTTATTTTATTTTATTTGAGAGAGAGAGAGAGAGAAGCAGAGGGAGAGACAGAATCTTAAGCAGGCTCCACTCTCAGCACTAAGCTGAAATCAAGAGTTGGATGCTCAACCAACTGAGCCACCTAGGTGCCCCAAAGATTCTGCTTTCACTTAATAATTGCTATTTTAAAACAGTTCATCTATCGCCTTTCTCCTGATGACTTTCATTTCAGTCAATGGCAGAAACACCATTTCCTTTGTTTTGGAAGCCTAAAGAGTTGGAGTCAGAGTCACATGATCTTCAGGGTAAGATATTAGTTACTTCAAGCTTTTGCTCATCATCACCTTTCTCCGCTAAAGCTGACTCATTTCATTCTTAAGCAAATCTAACCATAATATTTCCTTATTTGCAGCTGGGATCAGACTCCTGTCACCCCTATCCACCCCATTCCCACTTTTTCATAATCCTGGCATTGGAGCCTCATGGTCTTTATTTGCTCCCTCTACACAGAACGGTGGTCTCCAAGACTGATCCTCTCCTGTTCTTTCAGCCAATCTTCACGTCAGCGTCTCTCAAGAGATAGGGCTCCGAACTAAACACAGAACTCCAGGATACTGTATAGCCTGATGGTCTTTGTGTGTGTGTGAGCTACGCTTCTAATAAAACACTGCGTATACTGTAAACATCTGGATGAACACAAGGTGGCGCTACAAGCACCTACAAAGCCTAAACCCCTGGGTGTGGCTCGCTAGCACAACTCTGGCCGCACAAGTCTGTGAGATAGGAATTAATATCCTTACCTGACAGATCAGGGTATTGGAAATTTAGAGATTAAGTCATTTGCCCAAGGTCATACAACTAGGAAGTGGCAGAGATAGAACTCTGCCTAAGCCAGAGTCTGATTTAGGGGCTAACGTTCTCTTTATCACATTGCACTACACATGAAATGGTAGCCCTCATCTTTTCCCATTTATTTATTACTTCAGTGAGTCTTTTTTTTTTTTTTTAATTTTTTTTTTCAACGTTTATTTATTTTTGGGACAGAGAGAGACAGAGCATGAACGGGGGAGGGGCAGAGAGAGAGAGACACAGAATCAGAAACAGGCTCCAGGCTCTGAGCCATCAGCCCAGAGCCTGACGCAGGGCTCGAACTCACGGACCGCGAGATCGTGACCTGGCTGAAGTCGGACGCTTAACCGACTGCGCCACCCAGGCGCCCCTTACTTCAGTGAGTCTTAAGGGGACAGTGATCACAACCCCATGGTGGGGGGGTTAGAATCATTCCTAAGGGACGTGTTCAAAATGTACCCTCTAGTAGTCATCCCCAATCTGTGCTAAGAGCAACCTTTGTCATTCTCCCTTTGCTTACTGTGCTCCAGCCACACTTCCTGCTGTCCTTAAACATGCCTAGTTCATTAACATCTCAGGGTCTTTTGCACTTGCTGTTCTGCCCCAAATCTTCTCATCATTCAGGCATCAGCTCAAACATGACTTTCTCAGTGGCGACCACCCCAGTCACAAGTCACACTCTATCTCATTATCCTGTTTTATTTTCTTTTTAACATTTAATCACTATCAGAAAGTAATCTCATTTGTTTATTGTCTATTACTCCTCATGAGGGCTCCAAAAAAGCAGGGTTTCTGAATTGTTCATTGATGTATCCCCAGTGCCTAGAATAGAGCCAGGTATGTAGTAGGTACTGAATGAATATTTGTTAAATGAATGAATCCCCACTGTCTCCCTTGGTTCAGTCTAGTCTCACTGCATCCAGATCTTCTTACATAAATCAGACTGCTTCCTAAAATACCAATTTTATCCCATGGCCCTACTGCCCACAGAATAAAGTCTAATCTTCTCAAACAGGTGTCCATACCTGCCACCAATTAGGCTGCTCTCCCCTCAAACTTCCACACCTGCCATTCTCATTGACACCACTCTCCCCACTCTGTCCCCAACTTTAAGCACACAGCTTTCCCTCCTGGGAATGCCTCCCTCCTTTCCATTTATTTAAATATCAAATTTCAAGGCTGAATGGACCCTGGCTATCAGATTAGGTATTCCCAACCCCAGCTTTATTATACCCCCTATATGAAGTATGTTTGTATTAGACTGTTTATTTCTACTCTTTAAAAATCCTCCCTAAGTCCCCAGGATAGGGTTTGAGGCAGGGAAGTAAGCTCAGAGAAGAGGGAGGAGCCTAACCTGGGGAGTGGGTCTCAGTTATGTCCCCAGGGAAAACAGACTAAGGCTTCACATTTTTCTACGTGACAGCTCTTAAGAAAACTGGAGTCAGAGACCACGTTCATCCAAGTCTGCTGTTCTATAGGTGACATAGTCCCAGTCCCTCAGTTCCTTCTTAAAATGAAGCACCTAGAACTTCCAGGTGAGCACTAACTGGTGCAGGGAGTAGAGGACTATCAGCTTCTCCCTTCTGGAGTCTATCAATGAATCCAGTCATTTTAACTTTTGGAAGGAAGCCCTTCCAAACTGCTGACTCATTCTGAGTTTGCTATCAGTTAAATATCCCAAATCAACGGAAGTACATACAGCTCACCTGTCAAACTTCACATGGTTCCCTGCTTTTTTAATTTTGTTCTTTCCAGACTTGGTAAGATCTTTTTGAATCCTGACTCTGCTGCTCAGGATCTCAAAGAGATCTCTGCTTCTTTTGTCATTCATGAATTCTTTTGAATAGTCACTCATAGCAAAGAATCGAGAGAAGAGACCTGTGATAAGTCACTGGAGACTTATGGAACAGAACAGCATCTCTATATGAAAAGTCTTACCTGATAACAAAACAAACAACACTTTTAATGCATCTCTGACCAGGATTGGTCTTGCCCTAAGAATGTCAGCCACAACATCCCCTGTGCCTAGAGACACCTGCCAGACAGTACAGTCTAAGAAGGGAGTAGGTTCCAAGGGACTCTGGCCAATCTCTGCTGTTTCTGACCCCCCTCTTCCCTAGAGACCTCCCTTTCCATCCCCACCCCAAGAACAGCTCCTCTGTGTATGTTTAGGAGTGTGAAGTCTTCTGATGGGCTGTGATCTCCCTAACAGCAGAGATAAAACCATTTATGTTTTTTTAACCCATTTCCTTTGAGAAGCCAAGGGACCCCAACCTGAGGCCACAGCACAGCACATTCCCCTTTATCTCCCTTTCCCCTGCTTTATCTCCTCTTTCTTTCCAAACCCTCTGAGATCTGGCTGCCACCCTCACTGCTCCCAAATGTTGCTTTCTGGATTCTTCAGCCCTAATGTTAGCAATTTCACTTCAAATTTTGTTGAACTCTTTTTGAAATTTTCTCCTCATTTAGTGCATGTACCTTCACTCTCCCCTGGTTTTCCTCTAATATCCTAATTCTTCTCAGTCTCCTTGGGATGTTGCTCTGCTCACCCTTAAATCATTGTATCCTCAGGGCTCTCTGTCCTTGTTCCTTTTATAACTCCACACATTCTCCCTGGATGCTCTCATCCACTCAAAGCTTCAACTACCTCTTTTTTTAAAAGTTATTTTTAAAAATTTAATTTAATTTTATATATTTTTAATTTTTTCTTTAAATCCAAGTTAGTTAACATATAGTGTAATAATGGTTTCAGGAACATAATTTAGTGATTCATCACTTCCATATGACACCCAGTGCTCATCCCAACAAGTGCCCTCTTAATGCCCGACACACATTTAACTCATTCCCCTACCCACCTCCCCTCCAGCAACCCTCAGTTTGTTTTCTGTATTTAAGAGTCTCTTATGGTTTGCCTTCTCTCTGTTTTTATCTTAATTTTCCTTTCTTCCCCTTTGTTCATCTGTTTTGTTTCTTAAATTCCACATATGCAACTACCTCTTTTATTCTGACGACTCTGATCATAGCCATCCCCTGACTCCCAGGATATCCTTTCCAATCTACCTTCCACCCAAACAACCAGTGATCTTTCTAAAACGCAAATGAAAACATGCTACTAAGCTGTTAAAAACAAACAAAATGCCACTTCCCTGATTAAATCCTTCAAAAGTTCCATCCACACCCCACCATGGCTATACCAAATGATTTGCAGTTTCTGGAAAGCATCAAGTTATTTTGCACCTTTGTAGTTTTATACAGACTACTGTATGAATCTAGAATGTTCTTTCAAGTCTCCACAAAGCCTATTCCTAATTGTCCTTCTAGACTGGTTTTAAATATAAATTATGTTAGCAGTCCTTTTCTGACATGTTAGTCTGGATAGCCCTCTCATAGACCAGTACCATATACTGTCATCTCTGTGTTTTAATTATGTTTCCTTTTCTGTTTTCATCCTTAGTCCGTATTCTTTGAGGGCAGAGACTGTCCCTCATATCTATCACCAGCATTTAACACAGAGCCTTTATAAAATATTTAAATGTAATAAAATAAATAGGAAAAGAGAGGACCCAGGAGGCTTTAAAGGTCTAGCGACTGGTTTCAGACTCTTTGATGAGTGGCAACAATCACTGATCAAAGAATGGACTTCACTAACACCCAGTATGGTCTGCCTATTGGACATATCCCTTAAGCACTGTAAATTCCTAAATGTCCAAAACTAAACTCGTGCCTTATCCCTTTTCCTATAAATCTACTTTAGTGTTTGAGGTCTCTATCCACATACCCTCATCTTTCCAGTCATCCAGGCTTACAATCACAATCTTCTGTGTTACTTCCTTTCTCAATATATCAATTTCTAAATCCTGACTTTATCTCCTCAGTGTATTTGTTTATCCTCTATCCCTCCTTCCCCCGGTGACAACTGTAGGACATGACCTGGACTGGAAAGATTAATCTAGGCTGAGGAACCTTTAGTGGTTATGGATGGGGTGGTTGCCAGGGCCCTATCACTGAGGAAGCCATGCATATATCTTCATATTCTCCAGCTAGGTTCCTTACCGTCAGCTCTAGCTCTTGCATCCTTCTGTGTATGGCTGTTGGCTGGGCTCCCTGGGAGAGCAGGCCCTGGATCCATCAGCTGGGCCAGGGGGCCTTGCCCAGCAGCTCTGAGGCCAGTAGGTGGCATCTCATTGGACTGGGGGCCCTGACAGACCTGGGTGGACCAGGGCTCTGGGCCAACTAGGTCCATGCCTGGCCCCGAAGGCATGGGTGGTAGGCTATGGCTACAGCGAACGCCCTCATCCAGTGGGCCCACCCTATCTTGTTGGGCTTCTTGGATGGGTGAGAACTCCTGGGAGGACTCTCCGATGCTCAGTCGAAGTGGCGGAGAGCCAGAGCCTGCAGCTTTCTTCCGGCCTTTGGCGAGCTCGGCGAAGGAGGTGACCCGCCTAGGCGGGGAGCCAGGCCCAGCGAGGGCTGTAGGACCCTCACTCAGGCGCACTGGGCAACTCAACATGCGTTCCAGTGAGCCCAGGCGGACAGGAGGGCTGCGTGCCAGGGTGCGATCACAGCTTCGAGAGCGCTGGCGTCCAGTGCTAAGGTTGGGGGGTGAAGTGTTAGTGTACACTTGCCCCTCGATCACAGCAGGGCCCACAGGAGCTGCTGCTTCCACTGAGGAACCCACTGCTTCTTGCTCCTCTGGCTGGACTTCTGGCCTCTGGAATAGGTAATACTCAGAGGGCTGGCTGGGGCCAGGGTCTGGACCAGGGCCTGGTGCCGGGCTTATCTTGGTGTGTTCCTCAGAGCAGCTGGTGATGGAAGAGCCAGCTGGGCTTGGGGATGATTGGGAGGACAGGTCACAGGTGACAAGTTTATAGTAATTCTGTGTGGCCACAACAAGACGGGCCTGGCTCTGGAAGCAGGCTGTGAGGTCAGCCACAGCTGGGCAGGGCTCACAGTGTGGGCGGTAGGAGTTGCAGTTGGCATCGAGCTCAGGAGACGAGGCATGAGGACAGCCATAGCTCCCCTCCCTTCCCCCACTGTCGGGGTGGTGGGACTCACAAGACATCTTAGACTCAGCTGGGGAGGGCTGCAGGTCCAGGTAGAAGGCGCCAGGGTCTGAGTGGCTGCAGAAGGAAGAGTTGCTGCAAGACTGTGGGGCGGAGTTGAGATTGGCACGGGAGTTGCCATGCATCTTGTTGTAGAGGGTGCTGAAGGTGACCAGCACACCGTCTGAGCTGTTGCAGGAGGAGTCACTCACATAGCCCATGGACTGGTCAGCCGCCTCAGACTGACTGGATGTGCTACTGCAGCGGCAGTGCTGAGGTCCTGAGCCTGAGCATCTTGGGTTCCTTGGGGATTCATCTGAACTGAGTTTCCATTCGTGATCAAAGGAAAAGCCAGAGGTATCACTGGCTCCACCCCCACTGCCACTCCCACCAGGCCCCCCACACTCATCCAGTTCCATGGTCTCTGCTTCCAGTTCTGGCCGGCAGCAGTGGCTGGTGCTGCACTGCTGGGTATCCAAGGTGGCCACTGGCTCCTGCTCCTGCCCTTCCACTACTCCAGCCCGACTACGTGTTGCCCCCCATGGCCTGCTCACTCTAGGGCCAGGTGGTGGCAGCTGGAAAGGGGACAGATGTAAGGTGGGCTGACCAGCCCCATGCAGGTGGAAGGACTGCTGGGTGGCACTATCACCAGTGCTGTCATCATATAGGTCACCAAGTCCTGGCTCAGCCACACCTTCCTGTAGCAGGAAGGGATTGTGTCGTTTAGGGGCCCCGGGGCCTCTTCCATCCCGCACCCTACTCTTCGTGCTGTCTGCAGACCGCGCAGATCCCCCCGGAGCAGAGTGCAGACTGTTGTATAGCAGCGAGTCAGCTTGTCCTAGGTCTTGATCAGGCTGGGTGATGCCCAGCTCAGGTGGGCAGAAGGGATTGGATCTTGTGCTCCCACTACCCCCACCTGCCCCTCCACAGCACTGTCTGTCTGGGACTTGACAGTGCACCAGGGGGATGTGGTGGACGATGAGGGTCTCTCCAGTCAGCTTTGGGGGACTATCCATTCTGGAAATTTCGAACAAGGGCATCAACAGCACCAGACACTGCCCCTGGAGCCCAGTGGGGCAGAACACATTTCATCAGGAGAGCTTGGCACCTGGAGAGAGAGGGAAAGAAAGGGAACCTAATGTCACCTCCCTGGAAGTCAGGGACATGCCCTTCCCATAGCATTTTCAGGTGGAGAAGAGCCCAAGAGGAGAAAAGATTCAGAGTCAAGATGGAGCTTGATAACACAGCCCAACAGGGCAGGGGTACCCCACCATACTCTGGACTGCACAGGCCCAGCTCTTGAGCACCCCCTTCATTTTAAGTTGGCCATGCATCCACTTGTGACCAAAGGCAGAGCCCCTTTTAATGCCAAATATGAAAATCTCGGGGTTCTCAAGGGCAACACTTTCTCGTTTTCTTTCAAGGATGTGTTCTTAGCAGTAAATGATGACTAGTCCTGAGTACAGAAAAGTATGAGTAGTGACATAACTAAGAAAAATCATCTAGGATGACTGAAAGGGTGCTCAGCACTAAGGGGGATACAGAGATGACTTAGTCACAGTTACAGCTTGCAAGCTTTCAGATAAGGGGAAAATCATGAATACTATATTATGTACTCACAGCAGTAAGCTATAATTTTGCAAGAAAACTATTTTTAAATATTCTCTATCATTTGCCCCCCTATGTCATCTCATTTTCTCTTCCTCTGAGCCCCAGAATGCTTATCCCTCTCTCATGGCTGTGGGCTAAGGATCCTTGCTCTCCTTACTACTGTTCTGGAGCTTTTTCTTCTTCTTTTTAAAGATTTTGTTTTTAAGTAATCTCTATACCCAGCGTGGGGCCTGAACTCACACCCCCAAGATCAAGAGCCACATGCTCCACAAACTGAGCCAGCTAGGTGCCCCTGTCCTGCAGCTTCTTGAATACAGAGACCAAATTGGGCATCAAAGTGACTGAAAGTATGCTAATCTCTTCCTTCTCAATGCAGGGCGGGTGTCTATTTCTATCTCTTTTGTATCACTCAGGCACAACATCACATAAGACCTAGCAAACATGACAGCCATAATACATTCTTGTCCAGCTCAGGGTACAGATCTTCTGAAGTGCCCAAATTCTATCCAGTTTCAGCTCAGAACTTTCACTGTGGGGGTCTCCTAGAAAGTCTTCTCTTCCCAGTTTTTCCTCTGATAGGCTAAGGTAAAGTTCTCTCTTGTTCAAGGTCTCCTGGCCCCAAGGACACAGAGCCCACTCTGAGCTTCTCTGGTCTGTTGGCTGGACTGTGGCAGAATGGCTTCCTCAAATTCTAGTCTTCTGTGCTATCAAGTTCAATCCTAACAGTCCTCACTTGCTCAGATGCCTCATATCTAATTTCATTCATTTCTCTTCCTTCCCTTTTTATTCTTGTCATTTTCCTTCCACCCACTATGAGTATAAATCCCCTACAACCTAAGTTCTCCATCATTTAGCTGAATGCTTTATACCATCAATTTTTAAAATTTTAACTCATTTAGATTATAGGATCACAGCCCTTCATGTGGAGTACAGAAAAGATCTAGGCAAGTCACATATACTTAAGGACATGAAAAGGCAATAATAAATGAAAAAATTCAAGTGGCTGATAAATACATTTGTGAGGGATACAGTTTTAAAATATCATTATTTACAAATTAAATTACATCAAAATTAAAAAGTATTTACCCTCTTTTTCCCCCTTTCCTTTCAGAGAGGAAGACTTTGTTGGACTTCCAATCCTTTGTGAGTTGACTGGGGGTAATAGATATGGGGGTAGTAGATATGGAGAAAGGTGGAAACTAGACAGACTAAACTGAGCTACAAGGTTTGAGTTATAGAAAACAGGGGAATAAATATTTTTTACCTTGGATTAGGTGATGGTTTCTTCGCTATGACACCAAAAGCACAAGTGAAAAGTGAGAAAATAGATAAGGTGGATGGACGTCATAAAAATTAAAAACCTTCACGCGTCAAAGGATACCATCAAGAAAAGACAACCCACAAAATGCGAGAAAATATTTACAAAGAGACTTCTGATCAAAATATATGAAGAACTCTTACAACCCCACATTAAAAAGACATATAACCCAATTAAAAACTGGGCAAAGACTTGCCTAGACATTTCTCCAAAGTAAACACACAAATGGTCAATAAACACATGAAAAGATGCTCAACATCATTAGTCATTAGATAAATGAAAACCACATTGAGATGCCACTTCATCCCCAGCATGATTCCTAAGATACAAGACAGACAATAATAAATGTGTGAAAATGTGGAGAAATTGGAACTCTCAAACTTTGCTTCAGGCATTGTAAAATGGTGCTACTTTGGAAAAATAGTCTGACAGTGCCTTAAAATGTTAAACATAGAGTTACCATATGACCCAGCAATTCTACTCCTAGGTATATACTCAAGAGAAATGAAAACACATGTTCACACAAAAGCGTGTATATGAGGGGCACCTGGCTGACTCGGTAAAGCATGTGAGTCCTGATCTCAGGGTTGTGAGTTCAAGCCCCAATTGGGTATAGAGCTTACTCTATCTATCTATCTATCTATCTATCTATCTATCTATCTATTCATTTATATTTTATTTTTTAATGTTTATTTATTTTGGAGAGAGAGAGCACAAGCAGGGGAGGGGCACAGAGAGAGGGAGACTGAGGATCCAAAGCGGGCTCTGCACTGGCAGCAGTGAGCCCCAATGCAGGGCTCAAACTCATGAACTGTGAGATCATGACCTGAGCCAAAGTCAGATGCTCAACCCTCTGAGCCACCCAGGCATCCCTATTTATTTTTTTAATTTGGTTTTTCTTTTTACTTTTCTTCTAAGATTCTATTTTTAAGTAATCTCTTCACCCAGTGTGGGGCTTGAACCTATAACTCTGAGATCAAGTGTTGCATGCTCCACTGACTGAGCCAGCCAGGCACCCCAGTGTAGTGCTTACTTTAAAAATAAATAAATAGGGGTACCTAGGTGGCTTAGTGGGTTAAACATTCAACTCTTGATTTTGGCTCAAGTCATGATCTCATGGTTAATGAGACTGAGCCTTGCATCAGGCTTTGCGCTGACAGTGCAGAGCCTGTTTGGGATTCTCTCTCTCCCCCTCTCTCTCTCTGCCCCTCCCCTGCTCAGTCGCTTACTCTCTCTCCAAAGTAAGTAAATAAACATTAAAATGAATAAATATATAGATAAAGCTGCACCAAAAAAACGATGTTAAGAAAAATAATGTGATATATACATACAATGGAATACTATTTAGCAATAAAAGGAATGAAGTGGTGACCCATGCTACATGAATGAACTTCAAAAAGTAAAAGAAGCCAGTCATAAAAAGCTTTTTTGTATGATGTAGGATTCCGTTTACATGAAATTTCCAGAGCAGACAAACCCACAGAGCAGAAAATAGATTAGTGGTTTCCAGGGACTGGGGGACTGGGGAATGGGGAGTGACTGCTAACAGGTATGGAGGTTCTTTCTGGGGTAATGAAAATGTTCTGAGATCAGACAGTGGTGATAATTATGAAAGTCTGCGAGTAAAATCAAAACTACAGAATTTTATGGTATGTGAATTATACCTTAACAAAGCTGTTATTTAAAACCTTTTTAAAAAATACACACACACAAAAGGTTAGGAGTTATGAGGTCAGGAGGGGTGAGGAAGGGAACCAGTGTTGAGCAGTGGAGGGGATGGGGCATTTGCAGAAACAAGTTGAGAACAAGAAAAGAGAAAGAGAGCTGCCTTAAAGTATGGGATTTTATAGAGAGAAATAAAGAGGATTTTTAGGAAGTTTAGCTATGAGGTACATGAGATAATTTCTCTTTGCTCCTTCATATCTCTTCCTTCACCAAGAAAACTTGGGTTCAAATATATATGCCACAAGGATAACAGAAAGTTGGAAACAACCTAAAATTCCAATAATAATCAATCAACAAAAAAGAAAAGAGCAGGGGTACCTGGGTTGCTCAGTCAGTTAAGTGTCCAACACTTTTTTTTTCTTAATTTTTTAATGTTTATTTATCTTTGAGGGGGGTGGTGCATATATAGAGGGAGACACAGAATTGGAAGCAGGCTCCAGGCTCCGAGCTGTCAGCACGGAGCCAGATGCAGGGCTTTAACTCACAGGCCCAGAGATCATGGCCTAAACCAAAGTCGGACACCCAATTGACTAAGCCACTCAGGCACCCCAAGTGTCGCTTGATTTTGGCTCAGGTTTCTCTCAGTTGGTAAGATCAAGCCCTGTGTTGGGCTCTGCACTGACAGTGTGCAGTCTGCTTGGGATTTTCTCTCTCCTCTCTCTCTGCCCCTTCCCTGTTCATATGCTCGCACTCTCTCTCTCAAAGATAAACTTAAAAATTTATTTATTTATTTATTTGTTTGTTTGTTTGTTTTTAAAAATTTTAAAAATGATTTTATTTATTTTATTTTTTTGAGAGAGAGGGAGATGCACAGAGAGAAGAAGAGAGAGAATCCTAAGCAGGCTCCACGCTGTTAGCACAGAGCCCAACACAGGGCTCAAACTCACCAACCATGAGATCATGACCTGAGTTGAGATCAAGAGTCGAATGCTGGGGCGCCTGGGTGGCGCAGTCGGTTAAGCGTCCGACTTCAACCAGGTCACGATCTCACGGTCCGTGAGTTCGAGCCCCGCATCAGGCTCTGGGCTGATGGCTCAGAGCCTGGAGCCTGTTTCCGATTCTGTGTCTCCCTCTCTCTCTGCCCCTCCCCCGTTCATGCTCTGTCTCTCTCTGTCCCAAAAATAAATAAACGTTGAAAAAAAAAAAAAAAAAGAGTTGAATGCTTAACCGACTGAGTGACCCAGGCACCCCTGGAAAAAAAATTTTTTTAATAAAAAAGTAAGAGCAGAGTAACATTAAAATATGTCAATGTGACCACTGACTTGGGAAAACATTCACAAAATATTAGGTGAAAACTGCAAACTACAAACAGTACGGTATGACACCATTTTAAAAAATAAATATATGTCTATATGTGTCTTAGTCTGTTGAAGCTGCTATGACAAAATATCTGAGACTATGTGGCTTATAAACAGCAGAAATTTATTTCTCATAGTTCTGGGGGCTGGGAAGTCTAAGAACAAGGTGTCAAAATGGCTGTGTTCTGCCCTCTTCCTGGTTCATAGCTGGCACTTCTAGCTGTGTCCTCACATGGTGTAAGGGACAAGAGATGTCTCTGGAGCCTGTTTTGTAAAAGCAGTAATATCATTCATGAGGGCTTTGCCCTCATGAAGTAATCACCCCAAGGCCTACCTCTTACTATCATTACCTTTGTGGGTTAGGGTTCAATATATGAATTTGGGGGGACACAGACATTCAGACCATAGCAATATGCATGAAAGAAAATCTGAAACCATATACAACAAGATGTTAATAGTTCTTATCTATGTTGAGTGATTTTAGATTATTTATAATTTTACCCTTTTGGTATTAACTGTATTTCCTAATTTGTATGTAATATATATCTATTATGTATGTAATTTAAACGGTTTTATTTCCTTTAAACACGTAGATACCATAGGTTCAGGGCCTGGAGAGGGGGTCTTCCCCTTATAGATAGTACTAGGTTTCCCCAAGGTCCAGGCTATCATCTGAGGTCTGGACTAAAGGAGCTATCTTGTACATATAGCAGTAATTTTAGGAGTACCTATGTGTTACAGCCATCACTTGATCTTCAATGAATATCCAGCCCCCCTATATTTTTTTAATTTAATTTTTTTTTGAGAGAGAGAGAGAGAGAGAGAGAGAGAGAGAGAGAGAGAGAAAGAGAATGCACATGCGCGTGAGTGTGTGAGAGCAGGGGAGCAGCAGGAGAGGGAGAGAGAGAATCATAAGCAGGCTCCATGCCCAGCATAGAGGCTGACCTCAGGAACTGTGAGATCATGACCTGAGCCAAAATCAAGAATTGCACGCCTAACCGACTTAGCCACCCAAGCGCCCCGACCCAACCCCACCCCCCTTTCAAACCACCATTTTCAAGCGGTATTCACAAATATACAAACATAGAAACTTGTGATTCTGATCCACAAAACTATTATTGAGTCATACATGCTTTGAAATGGAAAAACATAGTGATACACAGAGTCTAGAAGGCTGATCCTCTAAACCAGAGATAAAGAATAAATGGATAATGGAAGATGATGAAGAATCTGTACCTGGAGGGTGCAGAGAGTTATATTATACTGTTATGTTTACATATCTGTTCCCCAGGCTAGAGTGTAGCTTCTTGAGGTCAAAACCTGTGATACAGTCAACTCTGTGTCCCTGGAACTTATACACAGCGCTTGGAACATGGTAGGTGCTCGGTTATTTGTGGACTTCTATTTTACCCATTTATTTTTTTTTAATTAAAAAAATTTTTTTTCCTAATGTTTATTTATTTTTGAGAGAGAGAGAGAGTGCAAACAGGGGAAGGGCAGAGAGAGAGGGAGACAGAATCTGAAGCAGGCTCCAGGCTCCAAGCTGTCAGCACAGAGCTGGACATGGGGCTTGAACTGACAAACCATGAGATCATGACCTGAGCTGAAGTCTGCCACTTAACGGGTTGAGCCACTCAAGTGCCCCTATTTTACCCATTTAAAAAACTGACTTGTCTTTTTATTATTGAGTTGTAGGGGCTTTTAAATTTCCTTTATCAGACACATGTCTTGAGAATATTTTCTCTCAGCCTGTGGCTTGCCCATTTGTTTTCTTTAAAACATTTTTTAAAATGTTTATTTATTTTTGAGAGAGAGAGAGAGTGTGTGTGAGTGGGGAAGGGGGTAGAGAGAGAGATGGAGATAGAACTCTAAGTGGGTTCCAGGCTCTGTGCTGTCAGCATAGAGTCCAATGCGGGGCTTGAACTCACGAACTGTGAGACGCTTCACCGACTGAGCCAGCCAGGAGCCCCTGCCCATTTGTTTTCTAAATAGCGTTTTTTTTTTTTTTTTAAGTTTATTTATTTACTTAGAGTGCATGTGCAGGGGAGGGGCAGAGAGAGAGAGAGAGAGAGAGAGAGAGGGAGAGATAGATAGAGAGAGAATCCCAAGCAGGCTCCACACTGTTAGCACAGAGCCAGACTTGGGGCTCAAACTCACAACCATAAGATCATGACCTGAGCTGAAATCTACAGTCGGATGCTTGACTGACTGAGCTACCCAGGTGCACCTTCATGGTGCTTTTTAATTAATGGAAGTTTTTAATTTTATAAAATCCCATTTATCTTTTATGGTTAGAGCCTTCTGTCCTATTTAAAAAATCTTTGCCTATCACAAGATCATAAAGAAATTTTTCCTTTTTTTTCCCCCTCTGAAAGCTGTATAGTTTTAGCTTTTACATTTAGGTTTTGTTGAATCCTATTTTAACTGTAAAGCTCTATCACTGTTTGATTCATTTTATATTTTTGTATCTTAGAAAAGGTCTTGGGGGGCCTGGGTGGCGCAGTCGGTTAAGCGTCCGACTTCAGCCAGGTCACGATCTCGCGGTCCGTGAGTTCGAGCCCCGCGTCGGGCTCTGGGCTGATGGCTCAGAGCCTGGAGCCTGTTTCCGATTCTGTGTCTCCCTCTCTCTCTGCCCCTCCCCCGTTCATGCTCTGTCTCTCTCTGTCCCAAAAATAAATAAACGTTGAAAAAAAAAAAATTAAAAAAAAAAAAAAAAAAAAAAAAAAAAGAAAAGGTCTTATTCCTTTCTGATTTCCACACAACCAAGGGGGATGCCTGCCAATATTTCCTTCACAGACAACTCTAGCTCAGTCAACTGAGGTGACGTACTGCAGGCATCCCATGAGATTTTGTATTCATGCCCCCTCTCCTGAACTTGCACATTTTTGTAAAGCACATTTTTTTTTACATGTCGCCTCACTGATCCTCACAACAACTCACCAAAGTAGGCAGAGCCACTTTCATTTTAAAAAACAAGGAAATTGACAATCAAAAACAAAAGGACTTGTCCAAGATCATTCAGTGAATAAATGACAATTAGACAGGACTCAGGATAACTTAACTTTTGTTAGTTAAGAATGTAATGAGAGTATACTATACATGTGACTTTATTTCAAACACAACACACACCTCTTAGACTTCTTTCCTGGGAATGACTTGTTCTATAACAATACAAGTTTAATACTGTGGGCCATGAGCTCTAATAAACTTGAAAACAATAGGGTAGAAGAGCTCATTGCAGATCCCCTCTGCACCCTGATTAAATGGAGAGACATGGGAGATGATGATGGGGAAGGAATAGAGAATCCAGAATAGGAAGAGAGTGAAAGAAAGCTCTCAGAAGACGGGCCCAATAGCTATGCCTAGTAGGAAGATAGTGGTTGGGTTTAGCCAGCATAAAGTTATGAAGTCTAGCTCTCCAGAATCAGGGAAAGCTTTCCATGAGAGCCCTTTTCCTGGCCCCCATTCCAAATGGATGTCTCTTGGCCTAACATAATAATACTATTTATTAGTGATCATTCACTGAGCTCTTACATGCCAGGTGATTTACATATGTCATCTCTAGTTCCACTATGATCTTTTAGAGTAGGCACAATCATTCCCACTTCACAGATGAGAAAACTGAAGCTTAGCAAGAGTAAATCATTTGCCCACAATTACACAGCTGAGATGGAACAACACAAACCCAGGTCTGCCTAACTCCTAATTCTTCCTACTACAACAGCCTCCCAAAGAAAATGTTCAGGGGCCACACCCTTTTCCAAAAGTACCGGCATTTATTCTGCTACTACAGCAGCTGCTTCCTACCTTTCCTGTATAGGCCCACACTTGAACCTCCACTTACATAATTTGGATTTACCCACTTCTCTATTCTCTGAACCGACAGTCCCTTTTATATTACCACCTCAGTAATATGAGTGTTATTAAACACTCTTCAATCCACTCCTGTCTCAGTTCCCAGCCCTCACCTTCCTGCCCCATTCATAGTCCCCAAGGCCCCTTTTCCCTGTTCTGTAGTTCATATTCCTAGATGCTTCCTGGGAACTAACACCCTCCCTCCTGCAACTTCCCAGTGTATTTGCCATAATTGCACAATGTGGAACTACTGACTGTATGTATGTGCCCATATTTGCACAATGTGGAACTACTGACTCCTTTTAGCATATGTATTTGAATCATTCACCAAGGTGGTCAGTGGAAATGGGAATTTAAGGAACTCTTTCTATCTGCTCAGCAATAGGTCAACTCTGGGCAGGAGAATGTTCTAAACTCCAGAAGAAAGGTTTCCCCTGTCTTTGGTCATCAGCATCTTTCTGCCAGTCATAAAACTCTTTCCCTCTTTTCTTGGCCTCCTGAAGGAAGACTGGGAAGACAGCAGTATTCAGTTGTTCTTCTCTAACAACCTGACCTTGATCTGTGGCCCGATGAGGAGCGTCAATAGCACTGATAACTGTTTTCCTGTCTGAGTCTTCTCTTGGGCACGACTGAAGGGAAGAGACAAAGAGGGTGGATTTGGGAGGACCAGCTTATGCTTAGGTCTCTTCCCGATAGGAATCTAGGTCTGTATAAGGAGACTGATTATAACAGGTCAGGTGCTGTAGGCATTACAGTGACTGACTCCTCACATTCCCCCTCCCCCAATATACTATAGAGCCTCTTGGTCAACATTCTTTCTTATTCCATCCTTACCTGCAGCCTGGTGGCTCCATGGCAACAGAAGATATGGTATGCGTGTCTATGGGCATGTATGTTTATGTATGGAGGAAAAGAACGGGTTGGATGCTTCCCAGCCCTTCCTCTTGAGAGCTGCTTGGATCCCAGCATATTCTCCATCATAAACTTACAATAGCTTTAGGGGTGTCTCCTCCCATTAAGTCTTTGTTCCTAGATCTGACCCCCCTTCACCATGACCCATACTATAGCAGCCTCATTAGAAACGCCCAGAAAAGAGGGGATCTTCTGTTGCTTGACAAAATAGCATTAGCCCAAGCCTCTGCACCACAGCCCAAATGTATGCATGGACGAGCTCATCTAATGTTTGCTCTCATGCTTGCACTCTCTCTCTCTTTGCTCTCTCTCTTTCTTTCGGAAGGACAAAGCCAACCCTCAGAAGCCAGGGTCCAAATGTGCTGATCGGTTATCCTACCGTCTCTGCCCTGCCCCTCCCCCAGCTCCGCTAAGCCATACCTCTGTAAGGAGCCTTGAGCTGTACCCGGAGGCTTCTGTTCCTTTTGCACTGCAACCAAGCTCTACCTCGACAGTTCCAGCTGAGGCATTGTTCCACGGGACCACACAGGGGGAACTGAACCGATTTCCTAAGATCTGATTTCTGCTAATACAATGGCATCGTTGCTAATGCAGGGAGGCTGCGCAATCCCAGCCCCAGTATCCTTGCTGCTGCCGCTGCTACTGGTGCTGCGGTGACGTTGCTGCTAAGGGAAGGGGGAAGGGAAAGGAGCAGGCATGCCCACAGTACAGCCACTCAGCCTCCCTCCCTGTCAGTCCCTGTGGGCCCTTTAGCCTAGGGAAGGGGGAGGGGAGAGAAAGCCACAGAGGGCAGCCAGGGCTGGAAGACTGAGAACTCTCAAGGCAGCAAAGAAAATTAGACCAGAGAGCTGGGTCTAGCTTCTCTTTTGCTCTTAGGAGTCTCAGGGAAAAAGTCTGGGCAGAGCCTTAGAGCTTCCTTCCTTCCTTTAGGCCCCTCCTTTTAGATCTTAGCCAGAAACCTCTCCCTCCTCTCTTCACCCACTCTGAATGACTCCTTGTTTTCCAGCTTTTTCCTTTCACTAGGATTCCAGACTAGCCTCAGGGCAGAGCAGCCATCCTGGGAGGGGGTTTCTGAAACCTTGAAGGGAGGTTTCAGGGACCAGGCATCATTCTGTCAGCAGGTAGAGTCTTTGTGTATCCCAGCTAGATTCAGCACTAGGCTTTCTAGGGTGTGCCTCTTCAGAGAAATGAGGTCTGTCTCAGAAAAAAGAGAGACTGGGCCATAGGCAGGCTTCTATACACAGGGTGGTAGTGAGCCTTAGGACCGAGTTGGGCACAGGTCCCTTCCTAACACAGAGTCTGATTCAGTTCCCTACATCTTCAGAGGTTCTGTTAGTGTGGCTGGAACAAAACCTTCTCCCTTCACCTGCATCAGGTTTTGGTCAAGTGCCTGCCGAGTGGCGTCCAGCTGAGCCAGTGGTGAGGCAGAATCCATTTGACCAGGCTGAGGGGCCAGGAAGCTTATTTTCCTAGGGAAAGGAAGGCTAAGGAAAGGGAGAGGTCTTCCCTCTGCCAGAGAAAAATCTCAGTTCTGCCTGTAGGTCTACAGAGCCCTTCACCCCTTCCCAGCTCCACTTTCCTCAGGTTCTGGGCCAGTTCTGTGGGAATCAGTAAACAGTGGAGAAGCTACAGCCAGAGCCAGTTGTACAGTAAGCAGCAGCACTGTCTGTCTACTTCAGGTCACTGCCCCCTGCTGCCACCCTTGATGGCAAAGACAGTCACAAGCTGGGGACCTATCTAGGTCTCCTCTCAGTGTTGACTAGTATCTGGATCCCTCAGCCAAGCCCCTGGATTTCAGGTCCCTAGAAAGAAGGCTTGGGTCCAGTGGCCAGGACCACAGCAACTACCACTCAGGATCCACAAGAGATACAGTTTCTTTCCCTTTATTGCTTCTTCTATTTCCTATGTGACCCATGAGTCTACAGATGATATGCTAAAATGAACAGAGTTGCAGAGAGAACAGAGAAGTAGGTAAAGTTCCAAAAACCCACCTCCAACCTAAATCTGTTTGAGGGGCAAAGGCACCTTGATCTCATAAAGCAGGAAACAATGAGGAAGGGAAGGAGAGAAGGAGGCTGCTTCATAAAACTGACCATTAGTGGTTTTCACAAGAAGACTGAAAGCAGCAGAAATGGTGTTGGTGTCACTGTACATGCATACCTCCTTGTATGGAGCGTCACTTATTATGTTTTCAGATACTGCATTGTTGTTGTGTTTTTGTTTGTTTTTTGGCAACACTGTGTGGAGCAAGTCTATCAGTGTCATTTTTCAAACAGGATTTTATTTTGTGTCTCTGTGTCATATTTTAGTAATTCTCACAATATTTCAAACTTTTTCATTATTATTAAATTTGTTATGGTGACTTGCGATCAGTGATCCTTAAAAAAATTTTTTTTAAGTTTATTATTTTGAGAGAGAGAGAGAGAATGTGCACGTGCATGTGAACAAGTAGGGGAGGAGCAGAGAGAAAGGCAGAGTAAGAATACCACATAGGCTCTGTGCTGTCAGCTCAGAACCTAACACGGGGCTTGATCTCATGAATAGTGAGATCATGACATAAGCTGAAATCAAGAGTTGGAAACTTAACCAACTGAGCCACCCAGGTGCCCCATGAATAGTGATCCTTGATATAACTATTGTTAATTGTTTTGGGGCACCATGAACCATGCCCATAAAAGATAGTCAACTTAATAAATGTTGTGTGTGTTTTGACCGCTCCACTGTCTGGCTGCTCCCCTCCCTCTCTCCTTCCCCTTTGGGCTTCCTTATACCTTGAGACATAATAATATTGAAATTAGGCCAACCAATAACCCTACAGTGGCCTCAAAGTGTTCAAATGAAAGGAAGAGTTGCACATCTCTCACTTTAAATTAAAAGGTAGAAATGATTAAGCTTAGTGAGGAAGGCATGTTTATTTATTTTTATTTTTATTTTTATTTTTTTAATATGAAATTTATTGTCAAATTGGTTTCCATATAACACCCAGTGCTCATCCAAGGAAGGCGTGTTTAAAGCTGAGATAGGCCAAAAGCTGGGCCTCTGTGTCAAACACTTATCCAAGTTGTAAATGCAAAAGAAAGTTCTTGAAGGAAGTTAAAAGTGCTACTCTGCTAAACACATGAATCATAAGAAAGCAAAACAGCCTTATTATTGATATGGAGAAAGCTTCAGTGGTCTGGATAGAAGATCAAGCCAGCCACATTTCCTTAAGCCAAAGCCTAATCCACAGCAAGGTCCTAACTCTCTTTAATTCTGTGAAGGCTGAGAGAGGTGAGGAAACTACAGTAGAAAAGTTGGAAGCTCGCAGAGGTGGCTTCATGAGGTTCAAGGAAAGAGGCCATCTCCATGACATAAAGTTGCAAGGTGAAGCAGCAAGTGCTGATGTAGAAGCTGCAGCAAGTTATCCAGAAGAGCCAGCTAAGATCATTAACGGAGG